GATCCTTCGCCATCCGCAGCCTGGCCAAGGACAGGTCGAATTGCTGTATCCTGCTCCGCATGGACAATGTCTCGGCGGAGCGAGGTCAAAAGACCTGACGGAAGCCACGAAGGACATCTACAGTTTCTGCCTAAGGAGGAACATCACGCTGCAAGCAGAATACCTCCCAGGAATCTCCAACCTGACGGCGGACTGGTTCTCCCGCCACTGGAGAGACACCAGCGACTGGAAACTCAACAGGGAGATATTTCAGACACTACGTCAGTGGATGGGTCCACTAACAATAGACTTGTTCGCCTCCAGGACCAACCACCAACTACCAAGATACTACAGTTGGCTTCCGGACCCGAATGGCGAAGCAGCGGATGCATTCCTTCAGGACTGGTGCATGGAAAGGGATTCCGATCCCTTTACTGCCTCTGTCCCACTGATCCTCAACTATCTCGCTCATCTGTTCTCGACGGGTCGATCATATAGATCCCTTAACGTGATCAGATCGTCTATTTCAGCGGCGCACGTCCCAGTACAAGGCAAGCCAGTGGGTCAAGATCCTCTGGTATGTCGTCTACTGCGGGGTGCCAAACTTACAAGACCCCCAGCACCCAAATATTCCAGGTGAATGGGGTGCTGGACTTCCTTCGGGGCTGGCCGGACAACCCCGTTCTATCGCTGAAACAGCTTTCAGCGAAACTGGCTCTTTTGTTATGCCTCGTCTCATTCCGACGGGTGTCAGACGTTAGGGCATTTGACGTGGACGGCTTTTCTCTCACTCCAGAGGGAGTCACCTTCTCCATTTCTAGACTGACTAAATCAGACTCGTCCTCTGTGTCTTATCCATATTTCGAATCAGACTACAAGCTATGCATTGTCAGGACACTTATGAGGTATACGGAAATCACAGCCAACCTTCGGCATACTCCGGCGGGTCAGCTGCTGATTTCTTACGTAAGGCCTCACGCACCGGTGTCTACAACAACCCTGGCCAGATGGGTTCGCTGGCTACTGAGGTTGGCAGGAATCAAACCTAGCTTTGGAGCAGATTCGGTCAGAGGTGCGGCAGCATCCCAAGCCTTCTTGACAGGCGCATCCCTAACCGACATTATGCGTTGCGCAGACTGGACATGGGAGAGTACGTTTAGGACTTATTTC